TTTTGTAATTGCAAAATAAATTCTTGAATCAAAATAAGTGCCTACTGATTTGTTTGATTAAGGGGTTGTTTGGAAAGACCTACCGTAATAAACTTTTTTATCTTTTTATTTTTTTTGGGTCACATCACCTCTCTATTCTTCTGTACATCTTTTTCATAAAAAATCAAAAAGTATACTTATTTAATACTTACCAAACGACCTCTAAGTTTTTAGAAACAGTTTTTGAAAAAAAATTCAAAAATTAGTTGGGTGAAAAAATAAATTAAAAAAACTCATTATTTTCATATAGTTTTTTCTTTTTTGGGATGAAAATAATTATGAAAAATTCACAAATAAATTTTTTAGTATTTATATTTGTTAAACTAGTGTAAAATTTTTAAAATAGTTTCAGAAGAAAATTTTTAAAACTCAACAAAACATTTAAATTTGGATTGCTTTTTTAGAGAATTTTCGTTTGTATCAATTGTCTTGCCTTTGAAAATAAGAAACAATTGGAAATACTTGCATGTGGCACCTGAAAACTGAACCTTTTTTTTTTATTTATTTTATTTATTTTTTATTTTTTTATGGAGGAAAAGAAACTTAAACTTGAAAGTTGGAAAATTTGGAGGAAAAATAAAGCAAAATTTCACTTTATTTTTTTATGATCTATTTTATATGCGGTTTGTCTATAACTTTTTATGATTCGTATACTAAAATGTATTGTTAGATATTCTGTTAAGTTAATTGTAAGTGTGAATTATGTGTTTGAATATGAAGGGAGTTATGTGAAAAAAAAGGGTAAAATATATTTGAATCTCAAGAAAATGATAAAAATGGTTATAAATTAGGCAATAAGATTATTTATACACAAAATTATTTTAATCTTGTTGTTTAAGTAGTTAAAGATATTAGGGCTGTTTAAAAATCCGTTCAAACCGGTAATCTAGACCGAATCTGATCGAATCGTACGGTTTGGTTTGGTTCGGTTCTATTAAGAACTGGTTCGGTTTCGGTTTAAGAAATATGAAAACCGTAAAAACGGTTCAGTTAATGGATTTTATGAAAAAATCATGGTTCGAACCGAACCGAACCGAATTTTAAAAGATATATATAATATCAAGTTTTATTTTTATTAATTGATTTTTTGTAATTTTAATGATATTAGAATGATATAGATATGTAATGTTGAGTAATGTCTTAATATTATTAGTTTTTATCATGAGTTAAATGTAATTAGTTTGAGTAATTATTTTGCTAATATTAACAATTTATTCTTGTAAATAGAAATGTTTGAAACCGTGAACCAAATCGAAACCAAACCGTTATTTCGGTTTGGTTCTGGTCCGCTTTTACAAGTGGAATGGTCTGGTCTGATTTTCAAAATCACAGAACCGTTAGGATCAGTTCGGTTATTGAATTTTCTTAGAACCGAACCAATCCGGACCCTAAAAGATATAGATGGTACACCTTACACTACAATATATAAGAGTTTTAGAGACCAAATATTTTGGACTCTAAAACTGAAAATTTTGTTGCGAAAGACATTTAAGGACCAATTTCTATTGTCATGAGAATAATCGCTAAAAGGTCATTCCAAAAAGTCAAAAACAAGGCTTTTAGCGACAAAATTTTGAAAATGTCACTAATAAATAGGTTTTTAGGAGCAAAATAATTTAGTTTCAAAATGGTTTATTTTTTGAGACAAAAAATTTGGTCCCAAAAGGACAATAATTCATCACTAATGTCTAATTTTCGTTACTAAAAATAAAATAACGATACTTTTCACAACAAAAATATTTGGTTCTTAAAAAATAACTTTGTTCCTAAATTTTGATCTCTAAAACCTTAATTTTTTGTAGTGTTAATTCACATGAAATTATGAGATTATTTTCAAATTTTAAAAATAAACCACACAAAGTAAGCGACATGGATGTGAAGTAAAATTTACCCAAAAAAGTATAATTTTAAAAAGTGTAGATGAAATTTTTTATTTTGGAGATTACCCAACTTATTAAAGGTTATAAATATGTTTATCTATAATATTTGTGAATCTTAATAATATTGCCATGAATATTTTATAATTTTATTTATGGCAAGCAACATTTTAAAGGCAAGGTCACTTTCTTTTGTAGGAAAAATCTAAAATATACAACTAGTCAAACACGAAATGGTCAGACCTTGAATAGTTGGGCTACCCTAATCAATTAATACTTTCTAATTTCAGCTAATTCACGTGCATATTCTTTTCTTGAAAACGTTTGAGAAATGACAATTAATGTATTGGTATAACAAAACTGTTCAAGTGTTGCATCTCTAGATTTTTGAACGGAGGTTTTGTGTTCGAATTTATTCAGAAAAATCGAACTTTGGATTGTGTTAGTTTAATGTATTAACTTGCTAATATCATATATTGTGTAAAAAATAAAAAGAGTTAATTATTGTTAGTACCATATATTTGTAATTTTATTATTTATAATTTATATAATTACAGGACATGTGGCACTTTCCTACTCATTTGGAGGTTATGAGAAGTTATGAAATGTAAAAAGATGATGAAGAACAAAGTGAAGAACATGAAGTATGAAGTGGATGTTGAAGGAAGTTATGGAAGATCATAAAGTATGAAATGGAGGAGGTGGAAGAGTGGATAGTTTTAGGGAGTGGATAGTTTTAGGTTGTTTTTTCCTACAAATGTTTGTCTATAAATAGCCATTTATGGCTACATTGTAAAAGGCCTCATCAAATTCAAACCAAAGACAATTAATTTCTATTTTTCTTATCATTTATATTTTATGCACTTAATTTTCTATACTTTATTTTATGTACTTTATTTTCAAAACATAGGAGTAAAGGTAAATTTTATGTACTTTATTTTATGTAGTTCATTTTCGAACCTTACGAGTAAAGGTAAATCAACGGTTAGTTTGATTATTAACTCGATCATCTTTCTCTGTCTCCTTCTTTTTTAAAATTTTTTTTTTCTCTACGCTTGACAATTTTGAAGTCCTCTTCATTCAGGTAAAAAAACCGTCAACGCAATTGCTTGATAATTGACTTGAATTTAATCTATAAGAATTTTTCAATCCTTACTGGCACGCTAGCATTTATGATATTTTTTTTTTATAGAACATTGTCCTCTTTTGGATTAAAGTTGGATATGAATAAAGCCTACGATAGAGTGAGTTGGGCTTTCCTTGAAGCGGTTATGGCTAAAATGGGTTTCTCACCTAAGTGGATTCAATTAATATCTCAATGTGTATCTACTGTTCAATTTGCTGTCTTGGTTAATGGCACCCCGTCGGATTTTTTTGAACCTGCTGCGGGTCTGCGGCAAGGCGACCCCCTTTCGCCGTATTTGTTTTTATTGGTGATGCATGTCTTTTCGGAAGGATTTGCGTATTTGACGTCTCTTAACATATGCCGTGGTATTGTTATTAGTCAGCAGTCGCCCCCCATTTCACATTTGCTCTTTGCTGATGATTGTTTTATATTCCTCAACTATAAGATAGATGAAATTTGGTGCTTCCATTGGGTTTTAAATGCTTTTTGTCACTACTCCGGGCTGCGTATAAATTTTCATAAATCGGAGCTTTATCTTAGTCCCAATTTTTCACATTTGGCTAGGGACTGGCTGGTTTCTCTTTTTGGAGTTAAAGTTGTCCCAAATCCCAGCATCTATTTGGGGGCTAACTTGGGTTTCTCCGGGCGCTCAAAGTCGGACATATTTACTTCAATTTTGAGTAAAGTTAGCCACAAGTTACAAGGCTGGAAGTGTGATTTTTTAAATTTTGCAGGCCAGGATATTTTGGTCAAACATGTCCTTCAATCCATTCCGGTGTACCTTATGACTGTGTTTCGCATGCCTGAATCAATTCAACATAAGCTTACGTCTCTTATTCGTCAGTTTCTTTGGGCTTCTCCCCGGGGTAAAGGGATATCTTGGAAAAAATGGACATATCTGTGTCTCCCAAAAGACTGGGGCGGATTGGGTTTTCGAAATCTTATGTGTTTTAACCAAGCTTTGCTAGCTAAACAAGCATGGCGGATTCTTTCATGCCCCAATTTATTACTTTCGCGAGTGTTGCTTGGTAAATATTGTCAACGACATTCTTTTCTTGACATTCGCCAATCTTCGTCCTCCTCATGGGGATGGCGGAGTATTTTATGGGGCCGTTCGTTACTCGCCTCGGGGCTTCAATGGGTAGTGGGGAACAGACAACGTATTAACCCATTTGAGGATCAATGGATTCCGATTGTTTCAAATCCTTGTAGAGGTCGAGGTTGGACTGCTATTTGTCTTGGGTTGAGGGTTGCACATTTCATAGATCCCTTGCTACGGTCTTGGCGTCTTGAATTATTGAAATTGTTTTTCCCTGCATATGTTCTCTCTTATATTGTATCCATGCACATTTCTCAAGTTGATGTCGAGGACAAAATGGTGTGGGGACCGACCAAAAGTGGCGAGTATTCAGTCAAATCAGGTTATAGGCAAGCATTGGCCCGACAGTTTCCCGACCATTCAAGGCCTGATCCGGATTGGCAAGTTTGGAAACGCTTATGGCAGATCAAGATCCCCCCTAAATGGATCTTGTTTGTGTGGAAATGTCTACATAATATTCTTCCGGTTAAAACTGAATTAAAGAAAAGGGGGATGCTAATTGATATTATTTGTTCCAGGTGTTTTCAGCTTGAGGAATCCCTTGAACATCTATTTTTTGATTGCCCCATTTCACAACAGATTTGGCGTGGGTCGACTTTAGGTTTAGATTTTGGGGTGGGACGACCTCTATCCTTTTTCTCATGGTTTCAAGGCTGGGTGCAACAAATACATGACTCGGAGATTGTAATACACTCCATTGCCTTATTATGGGCCATTTGGATGCAACGTAACTCTGTAGAATTTCATAGAGTTGAGATGTCCATAGAACGATCGATCATGTTTGCTTCCGAGTTACTAACATTATTTCTTTCACCCCTGCACAATGTCCCCTATGAGATTTCTCACTCTAGTTCTTCTTCTCAACCCAGTTTTGTTAAGCAGGTTATTTTGCAGACTGCCAAGCTATGCATTGCTGATGGTCCGCGTATGCGTATTGTTGTGGATGGCTCTTGGGTTGCTGTAGGTGAGTGCACTGGTCTGGCGTGGGTTTGCTTTGATTCTGATGATCACCAAGTCTATGAGGAAGCTCTTTTGGGACCTTCAATGTTATCTCCTCAACAAGTCGAAGCAGCTGCTGTTCTCCATGCTCTGCGTTGGGCAGTCCATTCCGGCATCAATCATCTGCTTCTTCAAACAGATTGCTTAGTCCTTCTTCTGCTGCTCCACCACCATGCTCAAGAATCCGATTGGAGTCTCCAATCCATTCTAGCTGACATTTTGTCTTTGTGTAAATCTTTTGATCATGTTGTCTTACAAAAAGTGGACCGTGATGTGGTTCACGCTACTCACCAATTTGCTACTGATGTAAGACTTTTTGCTTAGTTAATGTTTATATTGCTGTGTTATCCTCAAAAAATAAAAAATAAAAAATAAAAAATAAAAAATAAATAAATAAACCAATAGTTTTTTTTTTCCATTAAGGCCTTTTCGATGCCTACCTAAATTGACTTTTCTTTAGTTTTTAGTTCAATATGAACCTTATCCCATTGGGAGTGCCAAAAAACTGTTGAATAAATTAGCCAAAATAATCTTAAATCAAACGAGAGATAAGAAACAAAAAGCATGTCAAATTGTATTGTTCGTCTCTTCTACTCTAAAACCTGCATAGATAAATTAGTCAGTCAAACGATTGCCACCAATGTTTAACCTTACAATTCAATGATGTTTGTATTTGGTTCATAAATTTGGGAAGGAAAAGTAAAATATAAGTGAAATGTGAATGAAATATAAAATAAGTTTTACCTATGTTTCACACACATTTTTCTTTTTTTCCAAATCATTCCTTCAATATATGAACCAACCGCAACCTAAGAAAATAAAACAAATAAAAGAAAATAAGCTTCTGAACAAAAAAATAAAAAGTAAAAAAAGTAAAAGAGCTAGTCAACAAATTTTTAAAGAAGAAAAAAAGTACTCCAAAGTTTGATCTTAATGACAAACTAGATCTTAAAATTTTAATTTCTTTCGGTTTATAACAACTCTCCCTCTAAAAAGTGGTTGAATTCACAATTATTTTTTTTTTTTTGTTGATTTGGAAATTTTAAAAACAGTTTTTTTGAGTTTTCAATCAATATTTTTTTAAAAAATTTCGTGACTTTTTTTTAGTATTTTAATATATATATATTTTGGTTTTAAATTAGGAAATTTATTAGAAAGTTCTATTTTGGGAATTTTTGTGCCATTTCGTTCCATGTTTTAAATGGTTGATTGAAGAGCCCTTATTAAGTGTGGTGTGTGACCAGCAAGTCATTTTCAAACGTGAATGAGTATTGGATAGACAGATATACTCTCATTAGTTAATTGGGGAAGTTTTTTTTTTTTTTTTTTTTTGAAATGTGTGACAAGTATGGTGTGATACTCCAATGTTGCAGGTATTAATGTGACACTTTAACGATGAGACACTCCAAAAAAATTAAAAAAATTTTAGTATACTTTTTTCAAATGTGACAACGTGACAAGTATGATGTAACACTTCAAAATTTTTACTCATCCTTAATGTAGTTTTTCCAAATGTGACAACGTGGTAAGTATGATGTGACACTCCAAAAAAAAAAAAAAAACTCCTTAGTATATTTTTTTCAAACGTAACAACGTGACGAGTATGTTGTGACACTCTAAAAAAATTAAAAACTCCTTAATATATTTTTTCTAAACGTGACATATTGTAATGCCCTCAAAATATAACCATAGATATAATCTCGTAAGTACATATAAATGACAGCATAAATCAAAATATAAGGTTTTTTAATTACATGAAGTTAATAATACAAAGAATTTAACATAAATAAATGCCCTTCGAGCTTACATCTTTCCAAGTCTTAGCTTGGTTACAATAAAAGGAGACTAACTCATACAAATTTAGCCCTAGACTAAACAAAAATAAAACAAAACAAGAAGCTCTTGCTTCCCAAAGATCCCTCCAATGCTATTGCCTTGGTGGATGCATATCATCATTACCTGAAAATGTTTTTCCTAAATAGGGTGAACCACAGCCCAATAAGAATAATCTTACACAATATATGAGATTTAACAAAAGTATAAGTGCATGTGCATATACAATGCCCAAGATAAAACATCCACAATTTATATAGTCATAAGATACCAGATTCAATTCTTAATCCATTCCCATTCGATTCATTTCATTACATAAGCCAATTTCAGCACTCCTCAATAACCCAAATGAGACTACAACTCATTAGTTCTCTGATCACATCATCAACATATAAACACTTCAAACTTTCCTTTCACGAATATTTCGTTTGCGGGAAACCGTCAAACGAGACCCATGTAAACGTAGGTTATACAAGCACTACAATTGCCATTTGATGGATATTTCGTTCGCGGGATCAGCACCCATATATAATTTTGAGACTTTCACCCAAGACACTCCGGCCAACTTAATTATAATTGAGTCCATCCCATTTCTCCTCCCAAACAATCATTCATACATATGCAATGTATTTAAACACATAAATACATATGGAGTACATCACATTTCTTCTCCCAAATAATCATACATATGCAATATATATAAACATAGTCATATTCAATGACAACTCACAAGAGATTAGTTTTAATTCACCTAATCCACATGTAATTTCTACAACAATCAAAGCTATCCTTCACCGATAGCCCAATACAAATATTTCTAGACAGATATACAATCTCAAAACAGATAATTTAATCAACATTTCCAAGGATGTGAAGCATTTCATATTCAATTCCACCATCCATTCCAATATTCGCTCAATTCCATGTTTACAACATCAATTTCAACTATTTATACAAAATAGAAATGATAGTCATTTTTGGGTAAAAATTCCCCCTTTTCAAAATATCAACCCAAATACCAAAATCACCCATTTTGACACAACAAGGCTCCATTTTCAAACCCCATGTTCATTTATTTCATTTCCACTAAAAACCTCTCTTTTACATATTATACCCAAATCCTAAGTTTGTTCACATTATCCCCAAATTCCACCATTGTTACACAATCGAAAAAAAACTAAGTTAAAAACTATAACAAAATGTAGAAAATCCGTACTTCAAAGAGAAAAGACGAGCCAAGTAAGAGTGAAACTCCGAGAATACTGAAACCCACTTCTAATCAGATCAAAATGAAGATCTTGACGCACTCTACCTTTTTCCCAAAGGCACTAGGGTGAAGAGATCAACAGATCTAGATAAAATCTAAGAGAGAATGTGAGTTTTAGAGAGAGAATGTCAAGATCTAGGGTTTTGGAGAGTTTTAGAGAAAGAGAGAGATATGAAAAAGTGATTTAAAATGTCACTTTCACGGACTGATATACACGCAGTCTGCTCGAGCGTGGAAAGCCTCGCTCGAGCGTCAGACACAAAGTTTCGCTCATGTGTGAAAAGTGGCACTCGAGCATGGGATACGCATTTCTAGAATTTTTGTAGACGAAGGGCCCCGCTCAAGCGTGAGACTGGACGCTCGAGCGTCCAATGTACTCTTCCAGTATTTGCAGGTTTGTAAAAATACTGAGAGTTAACAAATCTCGCTCGAGCACAAGAATGACCGCTCGAGCGAAGGAGCAAAATTTGTGAAGCCCACTCGAGCGCAAGAATTCTCGCTTGAGTGGAAGAGCCAAAATCTAGGCATCACAGGTTTTGAAAAACAAGTAACCAACCTGTTCCAAACACACAATTCCAACTCGATAACCAAAAATAGAGGGGAGATAAAGGAAACAAGATATGAAACACCAGTCAAAACCATACAACCCGAGTCCGGAATACAGCAAGAGACGGGTCAAAACCGGAATCGCTATACATGCGACACTCTAACATGGCGAACCTAATTTGATTGAATTAGTGCATGTCTTCACGTCACGCGCCAAAAAACAATTAGTAAGGAATTCACGTCTCACACTACGCGTATTAAAAACAACCAAACTTTAAAAAGTTACTAGTGCACTTTTTGAACAACATGTCCCCCACCACCTTCCCTGTACATAACTACGCTACTTGTCTCCCAACTGTACTAATAATGGCAAAACAGTCAACAAATAATTTAAGAAACCACTCAGTCACCAAAAAAACATTTAAGACCTTATGAATTACAAGTTTACAAAAAGGGATTTACTGGTCAATTTCCCTGAAATGCAATGAAGGAAAAAATTACATCAGTGGTATATTGAAAAAATAATTATAAATCAATGAAAATATTTATAAATATTAATAATTAAAATCATAATTTTTTTTATTAATTTATATTTTTTTCCTAACATCAATCGATGTAATTATTCCAAAAAAAAAAAAAAATCGCAAAGCAAATTTTGAAAGTACAGAGTCAACAAAGACACAAGCAGTCAACGAAAAATTAATTTGTTCGAAAGGTATTTTAAAAAATTATTATAAAATAATAAAAAAGTTTATAATTTAAATTATATATATTTATATTATTTTTTGAATTCCTCTCTACATGTAATGATTACCCTATGAGTGTTTGAGAAGTTGATTATTTTAATAAATTAAGGTCTTATTTATTGTAATTGTTGGGGGTATTAATTTGATTTTTTCAAATGTACGATTTATGTTAAAAAATTAAGGGTAAATTACATCAACACCCCCTTGAGGTTTATGAATAATACAGATTCTCCCTCTCATATTCTGAAAATTACATTGACCCCTATCAGAGTTTGCCTTCTAATAAACCTAACAGAAAAGGTAAAAGTACCTAATTATCCCTACAATACAAAATTAAAATTACGTTCATGCCCTCTTCTTTTTCCTTTTTCCAATCAACACTCCTTTACTGATGTAAATATCAAACATCTTGCTGCATCAGTACCCACCTTTGTTGAAGAAAGACAAAGAGCAACCCATCATTACATTGTCCTCCACCTTCACTTCCATACTAGTCCCCCCTTGTCATTTTGTGTATATAATTATTAGTAACCAATACTATAAGTTAATAATAGTAATTCAAGCATCACTACAATCCCATTAATGTACCAATAGTAATTCAAGAATCATCATTACTGGACCACCAGTAATCAAACAACCATAACCATCATAACTCCATTGATTCAAGGGAAAAAAACAAACAAAAAATCATCATAGCCCCATTAATTCAAGAATCAATTAGTTCTTTGAAGCAATTAATCAAATATGCAACATGCATACATCTTCTAGAGTCATTCATCCAAAAAAAAAAAAAAAAAATTTGCATGCAAATTAGTTACCTTTAACTTCCTTGATCAGCCATAACCACCAAAATCACTAACCACCAAAACCAAAACCCACAAGATAAAAGAGAAACACCCCCAAGTCAACCACCAAACTTTTTACGAACAGAA